TCTGGAATTCATTTTCCCATCAATGACAACAATCCGTCCAGCCCTGAGGCAGCAAAGCAGCCCCCCAAACCATGATGCTCCCTCCGCCATGTTTCACAGTGGGGATGAGGTTTTGATGTTGGTGTGCTGTGCCTTTTTTTCTCCACACATAGTGTTGTGTATTCTTCCCAAACAACTCAATCTTGGTTTCATCTGTCCACAGTATATTTTGCCAGTAGTGCTGTGGAACATCCAGATGCTCTTTTGCAAACTTCAAACGTGCTGCAATCTTCTTTTTGGACAGCAATGGCTTCCTCCGTGGTGTCCTCCCATGTACTCCATTCTTGTTTAATGTTTTCCTTATTGTAGATGTGTCAACAAAAATGTTAGCATGTGCCAGAGATTTCTGTAGGTCTTTAGCTGACACTCTGGGATTCTTCTTTACCTCATGCAGCATTCTGCGCTGTGCTCTTGCAGTCATTTTTACAGGATGACCACGCCTAGGGAGAGTAGCAACAGTGCTAAACTTTCTCCATTTGTAGACAGTCTGTCTTACCGTGGACACATGAACATCAAGGCTTTTGGAGAGATACTTTTGAAACCCTTTCCAGCTTCATGCAAGTCAACAATTCTTGATCGTAGGTCTTTTGAGAGCTCTTTTCTGCGAGGCATGGTTCACATCAGACACTGCTTCTTGAAACCAGTAAACCCAAAACAGGTGTGTGTTTTTTAAGGGCAGGACAGCTGTCAGCAACACATCCAATACCATCACACGGATTGGAGTCAAGGTTGGCTGACTCCTGGCTCCAATAAGCTCTGGGAGAAGTCATTAAGCTAGGGCCTCACATACTTTTTCCTCCCTGCACTGTGAATGTTTACATGTTATGTGCAATTAAACCATGGCAACATCTAATGTTTGTGTAGTATTATGTTCAGCAGACTGTGTTCTTCTATTGTTATGACTTAGATAACGTTCAGAGGACATTTTATGCCCAATTCATGCAAAACTCCACGTAATCCCAACGGGTTCACATACTTTTTCTTGCAACTGTATTTGCAGTGTTGACTTCAGGAGGGGTATTAATCCTTTACTATGCAAAGAGGACTACAAATTTAAATGTATAAAAGGTGACCTTAAAGGGCATCTGTTATCCGAGAAATATGGGGGCTGTCATTGCTGAGTACCTTCTGAAAAGTCTAATTGCCTAGGTTTCCTGGCTTTACTATTTCCTAAACCAGTAACCAGAACAAGTATGTAACGAGTCTATGAAATCAGAGCTCCTCATCTGAATACTTATCTAGGTGAATAAAGCCAGAAGCTTTCCATGACAGTCAAGCATGTAGCATTTTCAGATCAAGGTTACCAATGGTACCCTCTGTATTTCTCTTGGTATATTTTACATTTAATAATAGCAGGGACAATAATTTTGTACAATAAAAACAAAAACATCCATACACAAATTCCCAGACCTAAATTGAAAATGGATTCACATATATGCACTTGCGTTTGCAGTACATTTTTGAGGTGCATTTTTTACTCTCTTCATGATGTACAGTATGCATTGCCATTTCTCTCCAAGGCTCTTATTATGAACATTGACAGATGAACAAAGACTGCTGTATTAATTGCACCAATCGGGGCTTTAAAGTAGTCACAGCATCAACCATAAAAATCATATTTGTTACCATAAAACATAAACGGAAAGTGTTATTTATTTCCACTAATATAGTACCAAATACATTCACCATATACCTCCAAACGTTTTGGTAAAAGTGTTTGTAATATTGAATCAAACAAACTTTCATCTTGCAAATTGCGTTGTTTTGATTTTGAGATGGATATGCATTTTTGTGGATCTTGTCTGCTTCCTTGGATTGTATATATATATATATATATACACACACACACACACACACACACACACACACAAAACACACACACACACACACACACACACACACACCTATATATTATAGTTACAGTTGCAAGAAAAAGTATGTGAACCCCTTGGGATTACGTGGAGTTTTGCATGAATTGGGCAAAAAATGTGCTCTTAATGTCATCTAAGTCACAACAATAGAAGAACACAGTCTGCTGAACATAATACTACACAAACATTAGATGTTGCCATGGTTTAACTGCACATAACATGTAAACATTCACAGTGCAGGGAGGAAAAAGTATGTGAGGCCCTAGCTTAATGACTTCTCCCAGAGCTAATTGGAGCCAGGAGTGAGCCAACCTTGACTCCAATCAGTGTGATGATATTGGATGTGTTGCTGACAGCTGTCCTGCCCTTAAAACACACACACCTGTTTTGGGTTTACTGGTTTCAAGAAGCACTGTCTGATGTGAACCATGCCTCGCAGAAAAGAGATCTCAGAAGACCTACGATCAAGAATTGTTGACTTGCATGAAGCTGGAAAGGGTTACAAAAGTATCTCCAAAAGCCTTGATGTTCATGTGTCCACGGTAAGACAGACTGTCTACAAATGGAGAAAGTTTAGCACTGTTGCTACTCTCCCTAGGCGTGGTCGTCCTGTAAAAAAGACCTACAGAAATCTCTGGCACATGCTAACATTTTTGTTGACACATCTACAATAAGGAAAACATTAAACAAGAATGGAGTACATGGGAGGACACCACGGAGGAAGCCATTGCTGTCCAAAAAGAATATTGCAGCACGTTTGAAGTTTGCAAAAGAGCACCTGGATGTTGCACAGCACTACTGGCAAAATATACTGTGGACAGATGAAAGCAAGATTGAGTTGTTTGGGAAGAACACACAACACTATGTGTGGAGAAAGAAAGGCACAGCACACCAACATCAAAACCTCATCCCCACTGTAAAACATGGCGGAGGGAGCATCATGGTTTGGGGCTGCTTTGCTGCCTCAGGGCCTGGACGGATTGTTGTCATTGATGGGAAAATGAATTCCAGAGTTTATCAAGACATTTTGAAGGAACATGTACGACCATCTGTCCGCCAACTGAAGCTCCGCAGAGGATGAGTGATGCAACAGGACAATGACCCAAAGCATACAAGTTATTCAACAAAACAACGGCTGCAACAGCACAGAATACGCCTTCTGGAGTGGCCCAGTCAGAGTCCTGACCTCAACCCCATTGAAATGCTGTGGCGTGACCTTAAGAGAGCGATTCACACCAGACATCCCAAGAATATTGCTACACTGAAACAGTTTTGTGAAGAGGAGTGGTCCAAAATTACTCCAGATCGTTGTTGCAGGTCTGATCTGCAACTACAGGAAACGTTTGGTTGAGGTTATTGCTGCCAAAGGAGGGTCAACCAGTTATTAAGTCCAACGGTTCAGATACTTTTTTCTCCCTGCACTGTGAATGTTTACATGTTATGTGCAATTAAACCATGGCAACATCTAATGTTTGTGTAGTATTATGTTCAGCAGACTGTGTTCTTCTATTGTTGTGACTTAGATGACGTTCAGAGCACATTTTATGCCCAATTTATGCAAAACTCCACGTAATCCCAAGGGGTTCACATACTTTTTTCTTGCAACTGTACATCACATTGTTCCATTGAGTTCAATATTCCCGGTAAATATACAAAAAAAAAAAATATATATATATATATATATATATATATATATATATATACACACACACACACACACACATATATACATACATACACACACACACACACAAGATACAAATTGCCTAATGTGAATGTATGGTGCTCTATGCAGATCTATTTAAGCAGACACCTTTAAAGTTCGGATTAATGTAATGAATAGAGATGAGCGAATCGAACCTGGCGAAGTGGAATTTGTTTCGAATATTAGGAAAAAATTAGATTCGCGTCGACTCCGAATATTAGCAAACTTCGGATGCACGAATCGAATTTTCCCCGATCCGCCGATTTTCATCCCTTCTACAGCCGGCAAAAAGTGTCCCTGCAGAGAGCTCCGCTATTTCTGACAGTTCTCTGACAGTTCCTTCACATTTACAGCAGTTGAAACATTGTATCTATTTGTTTTTCCATTTAGGATACAGATGTTTTTATTTGGAAACAAATAGATACAATGTTTCAACCGCTGTAAATGTGAAGGAACTGTCAGAGAACTGTCAGAAATAGCGGAGCTCTCTGCAGATACACTTTTGCTGGAATGGAATTCTTCTTCATCCTCATCCTACTTCTTCTTCATCCTCATCCTACTTCTTCTTCTTCTTCTTCTTCTTCATCCTCATCCTTCTTCTTCTTCTTCTTCTTCTTCTTCATCCTCATCCTACTTCTTCTTCTTCTTCTTCATCATCCTCATCCTACTTCTTCTTCTTCTACTTCTTCTTCTTCTCTTCTTCTTCATCCTCATCCTACTTCTTCTTCTTCTTCTTCATCCTCATCCTACTTCTTCTTCTTCATCCTCATCCTACTTCTTCTTCTTCTTCATCCTCATCCTACTTCTTCTTCTTCTTCTGCTTCTTCTTCTTCATCCTCATCCTACTTCTTCTTCTTCTTCTTCTTCCTCATCCTACTTCTTCTTCTTCTTCTTCTTCTTCATCCTCATCCTACTTCTTCTTCTTCTTCTTCTTCTTCTTCTTCATCCTCATCCTACTTCTTCTTCTTCTTCTTCTTCTTCATCCTCATTCTACTTCTTCTTCTTCTTCATCCTCATCCTACTTCTTCTTCTTCTTCTTCTTCATCCTCATCCTACTTCTTCTTCTTCTTCTTCTTCTTCTTCATCCTCATCCTACTTCTTCTTCTTCTTCTTTTTCATCCTCATCCTACTTCTTCTTCTTCTTCTTCATCCTCATCTTCTTCTTCATCCTCATCCTACTTCTTCTTCTTCATCCTCATCCTACTTCTTCTTCTTCTTCTTCTTCATCCTCATCCTACTTCTTCTTCTTCTTCTTCATCCTCATCCTACTTCTTCTTCTTCTTCTTCTTCTTCATCCTCATCCTACTTCTTCTTCTTCTTCATCCTCATCCTACTTCTTCTTCTTCTTCTTAGGATGTAGGATGAGGATGAAGAAGAATTCCATTCCAGCAAAAAGTGTATCTGCAGAGAGCTCCGCTATTTCTGACAGTTCTCTGACAGTTCCTTCACATTTACAGCAGTTGAAACATTGTATCTATTTGTTTCCATTTAGGATACAGATGTTTTTATTCAGAAACAAATAGATACAATGTTTCAACCGCTGTAAATGTGAAGGAACTGTCAGAGAACTGTCAGAAATAGCGGAGCTCTCTGCAGATACACTTTTTGCTGGAATGGAATTCTTCTTCATCCTCATCCTACTTCTTCTTCTTCTTCTTCTTCATCCTCATCCTACTCTTCTTCTTCTTCTTCTTCTTCTTCTTTCTTCATCCTCATCCTTCTTCTTCTTCTTCTTCTTTCTTCTTCATCCTCATCCTACTTCTTCTTCTTCTTCTTCATCCTCATCCTACTTCTTCTTCTTCTTCTTCTTCATCCTCATCCTACTTCTTCTTCTTCTTCTTCTTCATCCTCATCCTACTTCTTCTTCTTCTTCTTCCTCATCCTACTTCTTCTTCTTCTTCTTCTTCATCCTCATCCTACTTCTTCTTCTTCTTCTTCTTCATCCTCATCCTACTTCTTCTTCTTCTTCTTCTTCATCCTCATTCTACTTCTTCTTCTTCTTCATCCTCATCCTACTTCTTCTTCTTCTTCTTCCTCATCCTCATCCTACTTCTTCTTCTTCTTCATCCTCATCCTACTTCTTCTTCTTCTTCTTCTTCTTCTTCTTTTTCATCCTCATCCTACTTCTTCTTCTTCTTTCTTCTTTTTCATCCTCATCCTACTTCTTCTTCTTCTTCTTCTTCATCCTCATCCTTCTTCTTTTTCTTCATCCTCATCCTACTTCTTCTTCTACTTCTTCTTCTTCTTCATCCTCATCCTACTTCTTCTTCTTCTTCTTCATCCTCATCCTACTTCTTCTTCTTCTTCTTCATCCTCATCCTACTTCTTCTTCTTCTTCTTCTTCATCCTCATCCTACTTCTTCTTCTTCTTCTTCATCATCATCCTACTTCTTCTTCTTCATCCATCATCCTACTTCTTCTTCTTCATCCTCATCCTTCTTCTTCTTCTTCTTCATCCTCATCCTACTTCTTCTTCTTCTTCTTCATCCTCATCCTTATCCTCTTCTTCTTCTTCTACTTCTTCTTGCCATGGGCCCCTGTACCGCCTCCTCATGCTGCTGCCAGGTCCAGAGTGTGTCATGGGTCCCTGTACGGCCTCCCATTGCTGCTGTCTCCATCGCCACACTCTGCCATGTGCCACTTTCAGGTCTCCTCACACTGCTGATGGGTTCCATTTTGTCATAGGGTGCTGTATGGCCTCCCATTGCTGCTGCCTCCACCGCCACACTGTGGCTCCACACTCTGGTTTTGGCCCCGTGACTGCCCAAATGAGTGAAGTGTGCAGTGATTCTAAGATCGACGGCACTCATCTGCATGTCATACTGACTGACAGTATTATTATTTCTCTTCCCCAGCAGGCTCCAAGGGCATTTAAATTAAAGGTACAGTGTTCTGCACTAATATAAAGGCTCTCTGAAGCCTAGAAACCCTTTTTATAAGTTAAATTCGCAGCGAATAAATTCGCATCGAATCGAATTTATTCCACAAATTCGGCGAATCAGCCGAATCGAATTTTTGAATAATTCACTCATCTCTAGTAATGAATACTATAGTCTTTTTTGGAGATAATAAAAATAGGTAAAGGGGTGCAATCTTTCGAGGAAATTATTGACAGATGAAAAATCGTACAAGACATTTTTGGCCAATGTAAAAACTGCATATATTTGAACTAGCACCATTAAAAACAATGGCAAAGCTCTTCACATGTGTTAATTTGAATTAAAACCTATGCCTCAAAACACAGACTGTATGTGAACACACTGCAAAATATATTCCCATGGGCAACAATTTTAAAAGGCTAAAAATCAAACCTATGTGGCTTACAGCCAAAGTTAAAAAAGCTATAGATAATAAGAACAGAGCTTTTATTGAATATAAAAATGAAGGAATGCTATCATCATTTAAACATTAGAAAGACTATAACAGAATATGCAAAAAGGAAATAAAGGCCACAAAAATTGAAAACGAACGACAGATTGCAAACGATAGCAGGGCCAACCCCCAAAAATTCTTAAAATATATTAATAGTAAAAAGGTCCTTTCCAAGTATGTAGGCCCTTTACAAAATAATCTAAAGTGGGTGACTGGGGACAAAGAGAAGGCAAATTTATTAAATACCTTTTCAGCTCTGTGTATACAAAGGAGCATAGAGGAGCTCTTGTCCATAATGGGGATGATATTGACACAGCTCCAGATGATCCACATTGGCTCACAATTGATATGATACAAAAATATTTAGACAGAATAAAGGTGAATAAAGCACCTGGATCGGATGGCATACACTCACGGGTCCTTAAAGAATTGAGCTCTGTCATTTCAAAGCCATTGTTTCTAATTTTTAGGGACTTTTTAATCACTGGCATAATTCCACTGGATTGGCGTAAGGCCAATGTGGGTGCCAATATTTAAACAGGGGTCAAAATCTTTACCAAGCAATTATAGACCTGTTAGTTTAACTTCTATAGTTGGGAAGATACTGGAAAGTTTAATAAAAGACCACATAGATGAGTTTTTGCTAGAAAATAATATTTTAAGCAACAGACAGCAGGGATTCATGAAAGACAGAAGTTGTCAAACAAATCTGATTTCTTTTTATGAGGTGGTGAGCAAAACCTTGGACAGAGGGGTGGTGGTGGACGTGGTATACTTGGATTTTGCTAAAGCGTTTGACACAGTTCCCACACACACACGGCTAATGTGTAAGGTAAAGTCTACAGGGTTGGACAAATACGTATGTAAATGGATAGAAAACTGGCTAAAATCGTATTCAGAGAGTAATGGTTAATTATTCATACTCTGAACGGTCTAGGGTTGTCAGTGGTGTACCCCAAGGTTCAGTGTTGGGACCCTTACTTTTTAATATATTTATAAACGATATAGGGTCTGGGATTAAAAATAGCATTTCATTCTTTGCAGATCACACCAAGCTGTGCAGTGGAATAACGTCCTTACAGAATGTCTCCAATTTACAAGCCGACCTCCACTGTTTAATTAGGCAACTATGTGGCAAATGAGGTTTAATGTTGATAAATGTAAGGTTATGCACTTGGGGGCTAAGAATATGCAGGAATCATACATACTGGGGAGGGTACAACTGGGGTATCAATGGTGGAGAAGGATCTGGGGGTTCTGGTAGATCACAAGCTTAATAATGGCATACAATGCCAAGCTGCAGTTTGCAAAGCGAGCAAAATCATCTTTTGTATTAAAAGAGGTATAGACTCCAGAGAGAGAGATATCATATTACCCCTGTACAAATCTTTAGTAAATATCTCATCTGGAATTCACAAAAAGAACATTGGTGAACTGGAGAAAGTACAGAGAAGGGCAACTAAACTGATACGAGGCATGGAGGAGCTCAGCTATGAGGAAAGATTAGAGGAACTGAATTTATTCTCTCTTGAGAAGAGGAGATTAAGGGGGATATGATCAACATGTATAATACATCAGTGGTTCATATAGTGAACTCGGTGTAGAGTTATTCACCCTGAGGTCATGACAGAGGACAAGGGGGCATTCTTTACATCTGGAGGGAATAAATGTAATCTCCAAACATGGAAAGGTTTCTTCACAGTAAGAGCTGTGAAAATGTGGAATAGACGCCCTCAAGAGTTGCTTCTGGCCAGCTCAGTGGATTGCTTTAAAAAAGGCCTGGATTCTTTCCTAGATACACAGAATATAACTGGATACTAACATTTATAGGTAAAGTTGATCCAGGCAATATATTGCCTCTCAGGGGATCAAGAAGGAATTATTTCCCCTGCAGGAGCAAATTGGATCATGCTTTGCTGGGGTTTATTTGCTTTTCTCTGGATCAACTCTGAGTGTAGGATTATAACTTTTTTTTTTTTAGTGGTTGAACTGGATGGACATTTGTCTTTTTTCAGCCAGACTGACTATGTAACTATGTCACATATGTGTAAATGTTTAAAATATGTATTTGGTATGTTTAATACATGTATACAGTGAGTGCCTTACATACAAATGTTCAAGTTGCAAACTTTCAAAGATTCAAACATGTGTTTGCATGTCCAATCATGTAAAGCGGGGTACACATACTATTTGTTCAACCCAGCGGCCTGAATAAAAAAAACACTGATAGATCGCCATACCAACAAAAGTGATGCTGGTGCAGCAATCTCTCCCGTTGTGCCTTTGTATTCTGACAGGGGGACTCCCCCCGCCAGAACACACTGATCAGGGCTCGCAGCCTTAGCCTGCAAGTGTTGACTTTGTTGGACTTATGAACAAATTGGACTTACGAACACACTCTTGGGAAGGAACGTGCTCTTGGAAAGGAACTAGTTTGTATGTAGGGGACTTACTATAAATTGCACTCCACCATGGCCTCAAAGGATATTGTTTTGTTCTGTGTTTCTGCCCCCTCTATGTAGTCCTTGATTTTTCCTTCCAATTGATCAGTGCCAGCTGTTACCAACAGTAGGACTGTCATCCTAACAGTTACCACGGCGGGTGCAATTTTGTTACAAAATGCTGCTTATGCGTCTGCATTCTGCAATTAACAATACTATTTAAGAAAGGTAAAACACATGAGCCCTAAACAGTCTGAAGTAAAGCACAAGTAGCTTCAGTTATTTTATTATTATTATACAGTATTTATATAGCGCCAAAGGGTATGCTCAGCGCTGTACAGTAGCAAGGGGGACAAAACATGAGACAAGACAGTTACAATACACTACACGAGGGGTTCGAGGGCCCTGCTCTTTCGAGCTTACAATCTAGGAGGGAGGGGAAGGTGGTACAGGAGGAGATGGCTGTGGGGGATGGAGTGGTGGGAGGACTGGAGGAGGTTGTTAGGTGAGGTCGGGTGTTAGGTGAGGTTGGGGTAGGCTTCCCTGAAGAGGAGGGTTTTCAGGGTGCGCCTAAAGGTGAGGAGGGTAGGTGACAGTCTGATGGATTGGGGTAGGGAGTTCTAGAGGATGGGGGAAGTCCTGGAGAAGTCCTGTAATCGGGCGTGGGAGGAGCAGACCAGGGAGCTAGAGAGTAGGAGGTCCTGTGAGGAGCGGAGGGCACGGGTAGGGTAGTATTTAGGTATCAGGTCAGTTATGTAGTTTGGGGCGCTTTGTGAATGGCTTTGTAGGTCACAGTTAGCAGTTTGAATTTGATGCATTGGGCAATCGGGAGCCAATGAAGGGATTGGCAGAGGGGGGAGGCAGATGTGGAGTGGTTGGTGAGGTGGATGAGTCTAGCCGCTGAGTTTAGGATCGACTGGAGTGGGGATAGCGTTCGTTTGGGTACGCCAGTGAGAAGGGAATTGCAATAGTCCAGGCGTGAGATGATGAGGGAGTG